TGCTGACACCAGATGCAGAGCCATGCCTCTCCTGGAGTGAGGCTTTCACTCATAAGGTTACATCCAGTGTTCTAGAAGGGGTGTCACATGAGGCAGACCCCGAAGCTGGGATTGGACACCGTAAGTCATTCTTGAGAAGGACCCCTTAGTAAGAAACGCTGCGGTTCAGATAGAAATTGACCCAAGGAGGGGTAACAGGGGAGAGGCAGGGGGACCTGCACCTATTGGACCCCATGTGGACTGCAGAGTGTGATGACACAGCTTGGGGAGAGTGACTGCCCACCAAAGAGGACCCTGAGAAAGGCAGTAGCATGAGAACCGGGGGACGGGAGAGCAGGGATGGTGGGGCGCAGGGCAAAGCCGAGACGGTGGTGCCCTTGAGTGGAGGGTTTTCCAAACATCTGTGTGGTGGGCTAACTTCTGGGCCCTGGCGTCCTTGTTCCCAATCCATTTTTCCCTTTCATGTTGTGAGAAGTGGGAGAAACCGACCCTGGGTTTCCTCCCCAGGAAACAAGTCACTGTCCTTATGGCTTTCGTATCTGTTTCCCTTTGTTCCAATTTCCTATTTGACCCAATTTATGCTTGGAGGTTAGTGAGACTTGCAAACATCAAAGCACCACGAATGCATGTGACATCTAGTGACACTGAGTTGAGAAATGCTAATATAAATACCATATATCAAATTACCATTTTTTTTTTTTTCAAATTACCATTGTTTAACACCAGGATAAAAAGGGAGAGGTGGGGAGGAGGGGGCAGGGGTGGGGAGCTTTGTTCTGGACAGAAATGAAGGAAAGAGCACAACCGATCTGAAGCAGCCAGTGGTGGAGTTGAAGGGATGTGACCCTATGCTTGCGGGTAGACGGCCGGGACTGCCGTCTGCTAACACATCTTGGCAAAGTGAATGGGAACCGAGTGCTGTGGCTGGCGAGTGCAACCGCGTGGTGATGGTAACGGCAGATCGGAAACAACCTGGTTCTGTTGAGCTTGAGGCCACACATGTTCCAATTCTCCAGAAAAAAAAAAAAAGTTCCCACACGAAACAGAAGTGTCAAGAGCTGCGGAGATGGCTCAGTACTCTTTCCTGCTGCTGCAGCTGCTGTTTGTGGACGGGCTCCTCGGTTTCTGGCTCCTCTGTGTGACCCTCGTGTTCATCTGACGCATACAGGACTTCCATTAGTCGCTGCACGAGGTCATCGTTTTCCTGCCCGTGTTCTTGGCAGAGCAGTTCAATCTCTCTCAACTTCCCGAAGTAGAAATCCCTCTCCTTTTCCACACCTTCGAGGGCCAGTTTTAACGAGTGTACCTGTTCGTTGAGCTGTATGACCTGTGTTTCTAAATCTTTATCGGATCTGGATGTGGAGCCGCTGGACGAAGCCCTTTGGCTGAGGAGGGACAAGAACGTGTGGATCCTGGTTTAGATGCTGGACTTGATTTAGCCGCACCTGCTGTGGGGGAGTTTGCATGGTGAGACTTTTTCTGCAGGTTGAAGATCTGTTCGCCAGGGTCAGGGGGAGGAATTGCATCTTGCCCTTGTCGTGCCTCTACGGGATCATACTCCTTCCCATCGTAGTTGGCATCGTAGAATTTCTTAAACCACTGAATAAAATCTAGGTTGTCCTGGAAACGTCCTTTCACTAGCTTCTCCACTGGAATTACCTTAATGACATTCATTCGCTTAAACGAAACTTGCAGAAGTTGAAAATTGTGGATATATTTATGCTCCAACTTGGCTTGAAATTTTACTTTCTTCAAACTAATACAGCCTGGAAATAGCATGTCCATGAGCTGGCAATAAGCCGCTCCTGAACAAAGCTGTTCCACTTTTGTGTAGTTTAAAGATACTATGTCATTAACCCATGCAATGATGTCATGTCTGCTCATAGTCTCTTGGGTTATCGAGGTAGAATACACATTGACTGCCATTCCCCAGCTGTAGGAATGCTCCCCGTGCACTGTGTGCTTCCGGAAAGGAATGATGATGGTCCCGTTATCCTGGATGATGTCGTTGTTGTTCTCGTCATTTGGGGACAGAGTTTGGGTCGAACCAGGCATTTGGAGTACTCCCGAGAAAGGGAACAAAACCACTCTCGGGTGGCTCGGGGTGGAAGGTGGGCTGCGTCTTCCCGCTCACCATGCTCACACCTCGAGGACCGAGCAGGCTGCCCCATAGTATGTTTAAGACTCTTCTCCAGCACCACAATTCAAAGGCATTGATTCTTCTTCTGTCATCCTTAGTTATTGTCTAGCTCTCTGACACATAGCAAGTAATTGCGAAAACTATGAGACGGACTGACAGTGATTATATGTTGGAGACAGTGACACTAGTTTAGGATAGTTCAAGGTTCAGAGTGATTATGCATAGGGTCACTATGAATCACAGTCAAACTTGAGGGTATATAACAACAGCAGCATCCTCTGGTGATCTAGAGATAAGAAGCTGTACTGCAATCTCAAAAGCATGTGGTTTTAATTCACCAGCTGTTCAGCAGAACGATGGGCAATCTCCTTCCGCACAATTTACAGCCTCTGAAAACCCACTACAGGGTCACCTATAGGTCAGTTCAAACTTAATGACATAAAAAAACAACATCCCTTCCTGAGTTCCCTTTAAAGAGAAGAAAGACCTCTGCACTTTGGCAAAGGAGGTCAGATAATGAATGCTGTGGTCAAAATATCCAGCTGTTACTCAACAACTTAGTAGTTCATATCCACTAGACATTCTGCAGTTACGTCTGAATGGAATCATGGCTGATCCTGAAAAACTGCTGGAAAGAGATGTAGCCTTTAGGTCATCAGCACAACTCCCTAAGGTGCATCCCGTCAGACGTCTCTCTACAAAGACCTTGTCATGCAGGGTCACGATGAGTCTGAATCCATCAACAGCACTGAATTTTGATGTCCATCTGTCCCCCTTCTTGCAGCAAGATGCTTTCTCCCAAAAACTATCTGTTCATGTCCTTTCCAGAGTAAAACCCTTGAATGACATCTAGTTTTCCTTTGGACACAGTCTAAATTCTTAGCCTACCTTGTTTCTCTTTTTAAGGAGTGCTTTGCTTATTCAGGACTTTTTTTCCACTCCAAATGAAATTGGAGATACCCTTTTCATTTCGTTGAATAATGGAGTTGCTATTTGTATTGGGATTGCATTGAACGTGTAGATTGCATTTGGTAGGACTGTCATTTTCACAAAATTGATTCTTCCTATTCATGCTCAAGGTATATTCTTCTATTTCTCCATGTCTTTTTTTGTTTCTTGTAGTAATGTTTCATAATGTGTTTTTAGTTAGATTTACTCCCAAGTATTTAATCTTATAATTAGCTATTGTGATGAGTATTGTTTTTCTTAGCTCCAGTTTTGTATTCTCTTTGTCACTGTAGAGAAATCCAATTTCTTTTTGTATATTGATCATGCATCCTGCTACTTTGCTAAATTGGTTAACTATGTCCAGTAGTTTTCTTGCTGAGTCTTTTAGGGTTTTCTAAGTATACTATCATATCGTCTACATGTAGAGAAAATTTTACCTCCTCTTTGCCAATTTGGATACTTCTTATTTCCTTCTCTTGTCTTATTGCTATCGCTAAAACTTCCAGTATAAGATAATATTGTTTAAGAGAGGTGGGAATCCTTGCCTAGTTCCTGTTCTCAAAGGGAATGTCTTTAATCTCTTTCCATTGAGAATAATGTTGGCTCTCAGGTTTGTGTACATAGTTTTTACTAAGTTGAAGAAATTCCCCTCTATTCCTATTTTATTGAGTGTTTTAATCAGGAAATGTTGTTGGATTTTGTCAAAGGCCTTTTCTGTGTCAATTGATAGGATAATGTGTTTCTTGTTCTTTGCTTTGTTAATGTGATGTATTATAGTGATTGTTCTTATGTTGAACCATCCTTACATACCTGTTATGAATCCCACTTGATTATGGTGAACTACATTTTGATGTATCACTGGATTCTAATAGCCAGGATTTTATTGAGAATTTTTGCATGTATGTTCATGAGAGACACTGACCTATTTCTACTTTGGTGGTGTCCTTTCCTGGCTTTGGTATCAAGGATATATGTTTGCTTCATAGAGTGTGTCTGGGAGGAGTCCATCTTTTTCTATTTTCTGAAATAGCTTATGTAGAATTGGTGACAGTTCTTCTCTGAATGTTTGATAAAATTCACTTGTAAAACCATCTGGTCCAGGGCTTTTTCTTGGTTGGAAGTTGTTGTATTACCTTTTCAATTTCTTCTTTTGTAATGGGTCTGTTCCATTTCGGTTTGTGTCAGTTTGGGTAGGTTGTGCATTTCTTTTTTTTTTTTTTTTTAATAGCAAAGGAAATTCTTTATTGTAAACAAGATATAAAGTACAACAAAAGAAATATTGTGCAAATTGTAAGAGTCACAAAGATTTGTTTTTTAAAGTGGAAATGCCTGATGTTTTCCAAGGGTCCAAAATCTGATGTCAGAAAATCTAAACCTGATATACAGAAACTACATGAGGTGTAGTGACATTTTCCCTACATATTTAAACAATCGCCTCCTGTTTTACCATTGAGTATCTCATACACTACACAACAGAACAGAAAAAGTGAATGTTCACCATTTTTTTTATAAGTTCCACATCCCTCAAAAGACTCCTATAAATTAGCAAGACACAAGACAGCCTTTCGTCCATTTTTGAGTGCTGGTCAAACTTTCTACTTCAGCACACCAGTATATCCTCATGACACAAAGGATACTTTACTGATGACAGGAGCCATCTTTTTTAAGGAGTTATCTAATCTATGTTTTTTTTTTATCTTCAGGGCATTTTTTTTCCCTTAACAAAAGTGCAATGTATCTTAGAGTCTTATGGAAAACACATTGGTACACAATTTTTAAATCTATACAGGAAACTGCAGGCAAACTGAAGTTCAAAGCATAATAAAACACCTAAATAGAGTATTCTGTTAAACTTTCAAAGTAAAAAAACAAAAAATGCAAAAACAGGAAAACATATGTAGCCACATCTCAAAGCAACTAAATTAATGAAGAGTCCAGTTTTTTTGGACCCTCTCTAGCAATATACAGCCACTCAATTCCAGTTATCAGTAATAGTGTAAAAATGCTAGTTTTCTAGATATATTTAACCACTATGTTCACAAAGTTGACTGGAAAGACTAAGAATAGTAAACAAGATAACTTGAGGGAAAGGTAACAATATTTGCAATAATACACACCAATTTTACTTTTCCATCTCTGTACTGCAATGTTTATTTCCAGTCTCTGCGCTCTTGAAACCAGGGCTTTAGGAGAGACTCACATTGAAAAGTTGGTCTCAAGTATGAACAGCAAAAGTAACAAATAATTATGCACACAAATTCAAAATCTGTGCTACCTGTGTTGACCTCATCTGAAACCTTCCAAGAGTATTCAAAAGAATAAAAGTTTTCTCATCTCTCTTATGTGATAAGAAATGAAACCTGCCATTCTGTGACCTGCCTGTGGCCTCAGTGCTCCTTGTCACCTTAACTAGGGCTGGGCCTTTGCCCCAGGCTGTAGGGGCTTTTGCTTTCAGCCCACAGTGAGGGCCACAGACTTGCAGTGGAAGCTTTTTCAAAATAGTTCCACCAGCTTTGGGCTGTGACCAAAGTGAGTTCTGTTTCTTCACCTTCTGACCTATCACTGCGTGGGAGCAGAGGTTGGAGGGAGAGCAATGTCATTTAGTTTGCTCACTTCCATTTGCCAGTTTGGTAGCTTCTTGGCTGACAGATGGCGCCGGGCATGCTTGGTCAAGTGGTCACTCCTCATGAACCGCCGATCACACATGGGACAGGCAAATTTCTTCTCACCTGTGTGGGTTCGTCTGTGTCTGGACAGTTCATCGGAACGGGCAAACCTCCGTTCACAACCTTTCCAGCTGCAGCTGAAAGGTTTTTCTCCTGTATGAGTTCTCATGTGGGCTTTCAAATGAGAACTTTTAAAGTAGGTCTTCCCACATCCTGGATGGCTACAGATATGACTTCTTATCCTCAACGAGTCAATCGGAGGGGTGACTTTCGCTGTGGAAGGGGAAAAGCCTGGAGCAGGGGCGATGGGAGAAAGTCTGGTGCCATTTGGGCTCACCACTGAGGAAGGCTTTGGGTTCTGTATGTACAACAGGCTGGGGAACAACAAACATGACGGCACCTTTGGCCACATGGGTGCCCATGAGCACGACAGGTGGGCAGACAGCAGGTGGCTGACTGGGTGGAGTGTTGGGAACGACTATTTGTCACCACAGGGTTATTTGCAGGGAGGGGAACCATCTGGCAGAGAACTGGCATAGGTGGCACTCCCCCTGTGGAGACTGCAGGTGGCGAAACCAGCACCGACTTCTGCTGTGGGGACACGGGAGCTGGCTGGGACCTGCAGATAACTGTCTCTGAGGAAGGCACAGAAAAGTCATAAAGTGCAGCACGTGCTTTCTCATCAGTATCTGCCACTGTGTTTCGCTCACATGTGGACCTGTTTGGGGACACAGCTGCACATGGTACGTTCTTTCTAACAGCCTCAACATTTAGGTGGGTTCTTCTTCGAAAAGAATTGTCCTGAGAGTTGAGAATGCTGGTTGCTTTCACGGGGCAGGACCGGTGGTTACACAGATGGGCATCGGCTGTATGACGAATCACGCTTGTTGCCTGAGCCTTGGGGAGTTTAGGAGCAGGTAATGGACTCTTCTCTTCCTCCTTGAAAGGTGCAGCAATGTGAGGCTTGGAAAAATCAGTGAATGACTTGAAATGTCCAGTAGATGGCGATGATGCCATCAGCATCGACATCTGGGAGGGTTCAAAGTCAGAAGGACTATAAGGTGGAGTCAAACAAAAAGCTGGGATTGTATGAAACTCAGGTGTGCCTGGAAGTAGATTTTCTTCTGACATATCAGACACTGGGGTCACAGGTCTATTTTCAATGTACTTCTTAAAGTCAGAGTTCCAACTGCAGCTCATTGAGATAAGTGCTTCCACAGCTTCAAAATCACTCTTCTCTGCAGTTTTGTTCCAGGAATACATATTTTCTTTTGATTTTTCAGAAATCATTTCCATCCTTTCCTCCGCAGCCTGCTGGAGAGAGGCACCGAAGTTGAGCATGGTTGGCTGTCTGGCTGCCGGCGACGACGTAGACGTGACTGTCTGTTGGGGTGCTAGGCTGCTGAGCTGCCTGGCCACAGACGTGCGCCCAGAGACACCCGACGTCGCTCTCGCCGCCGCCGCGCTCCGAGCCGTCTGCCCCCTCCCCATTCTGTTAGCCTCTCTGCCTGCCCCGCGCCGCGGGCGGGGGCGGAGCCAGCGGCCAGCCAATCAGCAGCAAAGGTGAGGCACGGGCCAATGGGCGCGCGGGGCCTCGCGTGATCAGCGGCTGCCCGGCAGGGAGAAGCCTGTGTCAGTGGAGCGTGTACACAATCCCCGGCAGCGTGTTCCCAGGGTCCGGCCCGGGGAACTCCCGCCACCGGCTGATTCTGTGACACCCCTGCCCCTCGCGCGTTCATCCTCCCGGCCTCACGGAGCGCCGCTGCAGGCGGGGCCGAGCAGGGAGGCGCGGCGGCGGCGCACCCTGATTTAGAGGGCCGGCCCCACGTGGGAGGTCAGGTTGTGCATTTCTAAGTATTTGTCCATTTCCTCTAGGTTTTCATATTTGTTTGAATATGTTGTTGTTGTTGTTATGTGTCGTCGAGGTGTTTGCGTCTCATAGCGACCCTATGTACAACAGCCCTAAACCCTGCTCTATCCTGTGCCAATAACATTGCCTCTGACACACCCATCCCGATTACCTCAATCCCTGAATCAGTCCACCTCAAAGAGGGTCTTCTCCTCCGGTGCTGTCCCTCTACCCTACCAAGCATGATGTCCCTCTCCAAGGACCTGTAGTTTTTCATAATTCTCTAATGTTAGCTTTTTTATTTTCGTTGGTTCTGTTGTGATGTTGCCTGATTCATCTCTTTTTCAGATTATTTGTGTCTTCTTTTCTTTTGTGAATTTTGCTAGTGGTTTGTCGATTTTATTGACTTTTTCAAAGAACCAACTCCTAGTTTTGTTGGTCGTTTCAATTGTTTTTCAGTTTTCTATTTATTTCTGCTCTAATTTTTATAATTTCAGGTTTTTTAGAGGGTGTTGGGTTTTCTTACTGTCCTTTTTCAATTTGTTGGAGTTGTTGGATTAGAGTCATTTTTTCCTACCTTTTGATGTGTTTACTTATTGCTATAAATTGACTTCTGATTACTGTTTAGCTATCCCAGAGGTTTTGGTAAGTGGTGTTTTCCTTGTCATTTGTTTCAAGAAACATTTTAATTTCACTTTTTTATTTCTTCTCGTACCCAGTCATGTTCAAGCAAGGTGTTGTTCAGCTTCCAAATGTATGGGTTTTTTCTCCTTTACCTTCTTATTATTAATTTCTAATTTTGTAGCATTATGGTCTGAAAAGATGCTTTGTATTATTTCTATGTTTTTAAATTTATTGATGGTTGCTTTGTGACCTAGAATGTGATCTATTCTGGAGAATGTTCCATGGACATTGGACAAGGTATACTGTGCTTTTTTGGTGTGCATTAGCCTATAAATGTCTTAATTCTCACTATCTCTGTTGAGTTTTTTTCCGGTAGTTCTTTCTTTTCTCAAGAGGGGTGTATTGAACTATCCAAGTACAAATGTAGTGTTGTCTATTTCCTTTTTCAGTTTTGTTAATGTTTGTTTTATGTATTTTGCAGGTCTTTCATTTGGTGCATAGATATTTATTATTGTTATGTCCTTTTGTTCTATTAACCCTTTCAGCATTATGTAGTGACCTTCCTTGTCCTTTGTGATGATTTTTACATTGACATTTATTTCATCAGAGATTAATATTGCTACTCCTGCTTTTTTTCTGGTTGCCATTTGCTTGGTATATTTTCCCCTACCCTTTTGCTTTTAGTCTTTCTTTATCTTCATTTTTCAGGTGTGTCTCTTGTAGACAACATAATGACAGATTTTGTTTTTTTCTCCAATCTGCTACTTTTTTTCTCTTCAGTGGTGTGTTGAAAGCACTCACATTCAGTGTGATTATTGAGAGGCAAGGCTTTATTGCTATCGTTGTGTTGAGTTCTTTTTGGTGTTGTTGCTAGTTACTTTGGACCATGCAGCTTTCTGTGGTATGTCTGTAAAAAGGACATCTTTGAGTGTTTCCTGCAATGCTGGTCTTGTTTTTACAGACTCTCTTACGTTCTGCTTTTCTGGGAATATCTTGATCTGTCCTTCATATTTGATGGATAATTTTGCTGGACACAGTATTCCTAGTTGACAGTTGTGTTCTTTCAGTGTTCGATATATGTCCTTCCACTCTCTTCTTGCTTGCATGGTTTTTGCTGAGTAATTGGCACTTAATCTTATCTGTTCTCCCTTACAGGTTACTCTTTGTTTCTCTCTTGCTGCTTTCAGGATTCTCTCCTTATCTTTGGTTCTGGCAAATTTAACTATTATATGTCTTGATGTTTTTCTTTTGGGTTCTAGTCTATATGGTATTTGCTGAGCTTCTTGAATATATATTCTCTCGTTCTTCAATATGCCTGGGAAGTTTTCCTCTAGTAATTCTTTCACAACTTTTTCAGTGCTTTTACTTGCTTCTTCCTTTTCTGGGATTCCAATGATGTGCATGTTATTTCTCTTGATGGTGTCCCACATTATTCTTAGTTTTCTTCTTTTTCTTTCTTTTTTTGAGTCTGCTTTTTGCTCTAGCAGATCAGTGGTGATGATTCTGTCTTCAATTTCACTGGTTCTGTGTTCCATCTCTTCAACTCTGCTCATGTGTCCCTCCATCACGTTGACAGCCTCTGAAACATTGGCCCTTATATTTTGGATAGTGGTTTCTTGTTTTTCCAATGCTGCTAATGCCTCATTTGTTTTCTCTGCATTGTTTTTTTGAGATCCTCTTGTTTTTTGCTTGTAGTATCCTCTAATTCTTCAAGTTTCTTTGATCCATTGAATATATTCAATCGTTCTTCTTTTAAATTCTGTGTCAGAAAGTTCCAGCAGACTTTCTAGCTTCAGGAATTCCACTGATACTGTGTCACCCTTTGGGGGTGACATCTTGCTTTTCTCTTGTGTATTGTGTGGGATATCTTGCTTTCTTCGAGACATTGATATGTTCTTGATCTGAAGACAATACTCTAGAGATCATTTGGGTAGCTAACCCACTTGTGTGTTTCTCTGAACTTCTGACTTCAGGGAAATGTCATTTCAGAGCCTGTGAGAGCAACCTCTTGTTGGTAAGACAGGTCAAGGTGCTCCCAATTAAAGACAAGTTAATTGACTGGATGTGTAGGCACTGGTGTTGAGCCAAATGGGATGAGGGAGGCATAGGGTTGGGGTGATCGTAAGGGTAGGTCAAACACTTGGGGGACCTCACTCAGACCTCAGATTGGGGTCCCTACTCAAATTCCCGCTGTCCATTTCCCACCCAGTGGTTTTTACTCAGTGGCCCCTGCCCAGTGGTACTTATGCAGGTGCCCTCACACAGTCGTCCCTGTCCAAGCAGGGTCCTGGGTCCAACAGTACACAAAAAGTCAGAGTCAAATTCCCAGCAACTCACTAGCCTCTGGCTGGTCTGAAGAATCCACAGAAATTCAGACAGATTCCCACTGGCTGGCTCATTTCTGGGCAGTCAGTGTGGCCCAAGAGAGCTTGGCCAAATTCCCCTCCAGTGGGCACGTCCTTGGACACTCTCCCAGGTAATTGGCAATGTCCCAGAAAATCCAGTCAGGATACTACGAGCCTTGCTCTTGTGAGATTAGTCCCACAGCAGCTCAGCTGGTGGCTCCGGGTGATGGCTGGATCTGTGGCATGGCTTTGTGGGCCTGTAGCTCCAAAAGGAACTGCTGCAACAAAAAGTTCTGATTAGAAATCCTGCTGTCCATGGCTGGTCACGTTGGTTGGTCTCTGTGTGGCATGAAGGACTCTCTAGTGGCCCTTGGTTGGTCTCTGTGTGGCGCAAAGGACTCTCTGGTGGCCCTTGGGCACCACAGAGGTCAGAGGGCTGTGGCAGATGCATGTGGTTTTAGAGCTGCAAGGGAGGGATGGCAGGG